ATCAATTGGCTCCAATACACACGGTAAAAAAAAATTAGTAACTTTTTTTTGTGGTATGGCTTTCTATATGTTCTATACGAGAATATCACATTCATAGATGCCAAATACCCTATTATCATCGACCAACATTACTGTAACGATGGACACAATTGTAAACTAGGGGTAATGTTCACATTTTTTTCTTTCGGATTTTACCGTTCAAATTTTATAGAAAGAAAACTAATACACGTATTGTGATCATGCAGGAGGATGCTGTGAAAGTAAGCAATGTGACATTTAAAAACTTCAAAGGAACATGTGCAAATGCTATTGCGATAAAACTTGATTGTGACGAGATAGTTAGTTGTCATAACATCGTGATGGAACACATTAACATCACTTCTTCGTCTTCAGAAAAGCCTCTCACCGCGTATTGTCAATTCGCGGATTTAGTTAGTCACTTTGTCTCCATTGATATCAAGTGTGGTTGTGATGAAGAACATGAACCTCCCACAAGGCCACACCAAATCCTCAATCTTTGGTAGCCACACCGCGGCTAAACCTCGAGTACCCCCTAAACCTCCAACCCCGTTTTCTCAACCTCGGACACCGGCTAAACCTCTAGTACTCTATGCAAAACCTCCGACACCAAATGCTAAACCTCGGGCGTTGTCTCCTCCTCCATACCTAATTAACGCTTTTTGTGATGCTCCTATCATATTTACTATATCAAAGCTGTTATAAAATATGTCACTAGAGATTTAACGAAGCTCTTAAAAGATGTGTCAAATATAGATTTTTTTTTAAATAATTGTTTTTTCTATTGAAAAGAGCGTGGGAAATAAAAATACACAGAAGACAAGAAAATCCAGTTTGCTAAGTAACTCAAACACGCATAACCCATTCATTATTAGAACAAGATGAAGTCGAACCCAATTGGTTTGACCGTAGCAGCCTCGACGAAAATAAAAAATTTGTTTCATCGTATATTGTTGCTTAGCTTAAATACAAAGATATATATGCAACTCAATTTTTTTTTCTTTTGTTTTTGCGTTTACGTTTTATATTTACTACTTATTTTCCAAATGAAATGACACCACCCTTAAAAGCATTCAGTTTCCTTCCCGCTTGCAGTTATATTATACAAAAATATTTTATAATAATTGAGGCCATAATATTTAATGAGAAATTTTG